ATCAAAGTCTGAAATAACTAAAGTCATATAAAAAGCAACGAAATTTTGCAAATTTTTTGTTTTTTTTTTGTTTTTCTTTTTAACGTGTGTGCTATTATACTATTTTATCGGTAGAATTTATTAAAATATGATTAAAAAAAGTTAAAGAAAGAAAAACTAGCTATACTTTTATATACATCAATATGTATATAACGTAAAATTATCGAATGACTTTTAAATTATTTTTCTCTTTTCAATATATTTTAATTATTATAAATTGAAAGCAAAATAAAGGTTTACAAAGTATACTGTACTGTACTTAAACGGTAGGCATGCATGGCTGTGTGGGAACAAAATTGTTGATAAAGTTATTATTTTGAAATCATTTTTGAACTTATTTATCGACACAGTTTCGATTGTAAAATTTATTTCATATTGCATAGAAAATAATCCGTGATAGTTGCGTCAAACTGTAATGAAAGAGAGAACTACATGTGGAATATATAGCAAATAATTCGTGATAGTTGCGTCGAACTGAAATAGAAGTGAGAACTTCTTGTGGAATATACAGAAAACAATCCGAGATAGTTGCGTCGAACTGTAATAGAAATGAGAAAAATTGCATATTGTATAAAAAATAATCCGCGGTGTAACATATTCAAATCACGTTTACTCAATGTCGATAGCTGTAAGCCGGCGCATGAATTATTGCACAAAACTATCGATTTGTTGTTTCTCAATGGAAGTATTTTCTATGCTTATGTTTAGTGCTTTATTTTTTTTTTTGAACTGGCTTTATGAAACTCCATTAAGCTGAATATTTTACCTTTAGCGTTAATCAAAATTTAAATCCCAATTCATCAATGTAAATACGTGGAGATATGTATAAATACAAATTTTCTTAGAGAACCGAGAAGCTTAAACATTGGCCGACTATGTTGTTTCGTCACGCCTTATGCAAACATAGGTCGGATGAAATAAACTGTGGGAATATTTTGATATAGTTTCAGAAAGTAGGCATATATCAATACTATAGTTGACTAAGGAGTCAAAAATCTCAACACACATCTCGATGGATGTATTGCGAACTCTGCGATAGTCCCAAAAAATGATTTTGAGCATTGATATATCCATTACTTAACAATTTTCTTGTTAATTCCTTTAAGATTGTTATAGTGTTCAACAAGACGGTATAAGATAGCAAGTACAACAAATATTACATGTTGGAGTAATTAAAATGGAAAAAAAAAATTCATATAAATAATCCATAAAGAGCTGAAAAAAACTTGCAAGGATTGTAAAAGTGAGCAATAAAATACTGACGATTTTATTTATGGACGTAATTAGTGTGAGCTTTGCAGCATAAGAACACTACAGGTAAAAGTTTTGTGATGATTTGTGAGAGAGAAGAGAAAAAATTGTAGATGTGGATACAAACCACTACGTCATCAGCAGTACCCGATCATCAGCAACGGTATCCCATCGTCATCACATTATGTTCTTTTGGCATTTTCTTATTTTTATAGTGTAAGTTAATGTGTACGTTTTTTAGGATTGCGTGTATTATTGCGACCATATTTTTTCAACGTTGAAAGTGATTTTATAATAGTAATAATTACATCAAATTTTATATTACTTTTTTCTTATTGTTAGTATTATATTATGATAACTTAATTGTTTGTAATTTACTAAAAATATGGTCCAGTATCGTTTTTAATGAGAGAAAGGTAGGTTTAGAGGCCTGAGAATCAGCCTGCGGCATCTCCCACACAAAATTATGAGGCAAAGGAGACTATAGCCAGTTCGGTAAGAAAGTTTCGATCGTCCGCCCGTCTCTATAAAGATTTCTGAGCGTGCAGTTTTCGAGTTCAATTATATGGTCAGTGCTTGTTGGACAGAAAATTAAAACCCACCATTACTGCCGAACTAGCTAGCGTCTGACATTATGAGTTTTGCTTCTTAATTTCGGACGATGAGTGCAAAAATTTTCTACCTGTAATGGATAAATTTCTTAACAGTATGGATTTGGGTGATTTGGTGACTAATAAATCGTATCAGAATTTACTTAAATTATTTTTGGGATACATACACGACACTTATAAAAATTCAAAACCATATTTAAAGCAAAATGAAAATTCTTAATTAATGAATTCATAGAAATAATAAAAACTTTTTCACAAATAAAAAAGAAAAACAATTGAGCTTTTTGTGCTAATCATCAAACTTAATCTTTATTGGATCAAGTCTTCTATCTCGTTAATCATATAGTTTTCAAGTTATCAAATATCTGTATGCCATTAGCCCAATTCTGTCTGTCTATCCATTTGCCTCTACGTGCGGAGTAAGTAAGTAAGTATTTAGTTCCATTTGAGAGTCTGAATTTGGTGACAATTGACAAAAAAAAACAAAAAGGGACAAATTATATGTTTCAAAAGCGAAGTGCTTAAAAAAAGGCAAAGAGCGAGGCGGCATTTGGTGCCAGTTGAGTTGATTTGAAAAAGCGAGTCTGTATTTATTGACAATCGAGAAAATATTGAAAGAGCGTCTATGAATTCAACCTCAATAGTATCCAAGAATGCCAGAATAACAATGAGAATGCTGAGGTTAATTGGCGCTCTTAAGGATCGCCTTTTTTATTCCCTATGGTATATACATCATAGCCAAATCCCAACTACACTGCATTGCGAATTAGTGAATAGAAAGTGGTATCATGCATTTTAATGTATATCGAGGATATAAGAATTCAAAAACACGCAATAGATTGCAGTGATTCTTATCGTAACATTAACCAAATAATTATATTGATAGATAACAAATTTTTGATATCTAGGCATTCCTTTCTACCGAAAGACTGTGAAATGAAAATACAAAAAGCAAGTTCCATTCCACGTTTTGGATCTTTTACCTACACGAGGAAGACAAAGAGAAGAAATGTTAAATTTGTTGGCTTACATTGTTAAAGAACATTGTGAGGGTAGTGTAACTTTTCCATCATCCCTAGCTATAGCAGCCAACTCTGCCTCCAAATCGCTATCATTCTCATCATCTTTAGTCGCAAGCTCTATTATTTTTGTCGTAAGCTCTATTATATTTATCGCAAACTCTATTATTTTTGTCGCAAACTCTATTGTAGTGTGCGTGTTGCGACTCGTTTTATTTTCAATTTATAAACGAATATAAACCAATATGTAGCATGAGATCTTACTGCAAAAATTCGACTCGATGAAACATTTGTGTATATTTCACGCACATGGGATATCTGGCGGTTAGAAAAATGCAAATTAATTGCAAGGAATCGATTGCGTGCAAGATTTAAAACGCCTTAACGTGGTACGCTCTCTAAAGAAATATACACCTTATATGTAGCTTAAAATGAAATTTAAATTTCTGAGAATAATTTATTTTTTTATTTCAGTTCATTAGTCTACAATTAAAATAATAATAATAATAATAATAAAAGAAAACAAATGCATTTAGAATACAATACAATGATAGAATAATGTATGTTTAAGAGCAAAAAAAATTATGAATAAATACGAATATAAAATAATATTAAGAAAAATCAAAAAATTCATATATTAACGAGAAAAACAAAAACAAACGCTCCATGTGTATTTAATTCATAAAAATAAACGTCGCTATACATACGTAATCATAGATGATGGCTTCCTAGATTCCACATGTTGACCGCCCAGTTCCCACAAATTACGCACATTCGCCGCCCAGATTCCACAATATAACAAGAGACGAACAAGTTTGATCAAACAAGTCATCGTTTACATAGGTACTTTCTCTCTTAATTTCTCCTTTCACTTTCGTTTAGTAAATATTTTTGTTTCATTTTTATTACTCATCTCATTTTCTATTGCATTTGCTTCATTTCTGATTTGGTGAAGAAAAAAAATTTGCATCTCCGACGCCGTGTGTCGTGATAAAACAGCAATAATTACATACGCTCGCTCGGGTAGTTAAAAATGCTGGCAATTACCCGAAATTAACTTTGTTGTTAAATTATTTCCATCATACACAGCACTACATAGACCAGTAACGGAAGAAAAACAGACATATTATGTGTCTATCGTTTTTCAGCAACATTTTAAGGACCTGAACAATTCGTCATGATAAAAATTGATTACTTTTTAAATATAATTAATAAATGTTCTTAAATTATCTCATTAAAATTATTGTTTCTAATAAAACTCATACTTTTTTACTGCTCTAAGTCATTTATAGGACATTCAGTTAATTTTAAAAACACTTCAAGTCAATTCAAATTCGAAAACAATACAAGTTCAAATATAATGTTATCTTTTTTATGTAGTAGCTTTAAAGACTATAATTTAATTTAAGAAAAAAAAAATACGTCTAACAAAGTACTTTCACATACTGAAAGCCGCATTTTTAAAAGCCTCCTAGAATCATACAACATATATATACGTTAATATAAATACAGTAGAGCCATACAACACCCGTATATATATATATATATATATATATTTATATATACATATATATGCTTTCATATATCTAAAGTATGTAAAACAACCGAAAATATTTTACAAAGAAAATTTTTAACAATTAATTAACAAGTAGTATTGAACAACCAACAAGTTCATGTAGTTTTGTATAAGTGTTGATATATTTATTCACACACATTTTAAATATATAATTATAAAAGGTATATAGTAAAATATACTCGAAACTATCTCAACAAAAAAATTCCATTTGTTAAAAGCAACGAATAATAAAAGTTTTAATTGTATATTGTAATCTCAATGAATTATCGGTGTATCCTTCTTTTGTGTTTATGGCTTAAATGTACTTAGCTTTAATTATATTACACACATACAAATGAGCTTAAAGTGAAGCTATCTTTAAATAGCTTAGAGTTTTATATTTATAAATTATGTATTATTTATTATATTTATTTAATTTAATGTCAAATTTTTAATAACGTGCTTCCATCAACCCCTCCCAGTAGTTGCGAAATGTAATTTTTATTTTTTTCTTAATCTTTTTTTATAATATAATCGTATAACCTTTAGCTTCAGATTATTATATTAATGCAAATTATGATCTTATAATTATAGAGCACATATTATTCACTTTAAATTAGTTTACATTTTAGAATTGTTTAAAATATTTACAGGGAGGGAATATTTAATGAAAATACAATAAAGAAATGTGATTTTAAAACAATATATTAATGTTAATCTCTTGATGCTATTATAAATTTTACGTCTGCGCTACTCTGCACCTGTTTCTTCATATTTTCATTTGCACTCTTCGCTCAATAAGGTGCTTGTTGTTCGTGCATCTTGTGTTTTACCACTGTCTTCAATAACTTTATCTTTATCTCCATCGATAAGTTCGATTTTACCATTCTTTCTTCGTTTAATTTTTTGATTTTCATTTTCATAAACATCACATCCGTTTATAAACGATTGGCAGCGCTTTGTTGGCGGCGTACCAGTCGTTTCAGATTTTCGCCTCCTTCATATGTGATGGTAATTCCATAACTGAGATACTCAAAATTCTGAGCGAAAAAGGTAAAATTATTAAAATTATACCAAAAATTGAAAACCAGAAAGGTATGCACAATTTGGATGAAATTGTGGCGACTAGTGATGGCCTCCGCCAGAAAATGTTTTTCTTGCTCAAAAATCCATTATTGCTCGCTGCAATGAAGCTGGAAAGTCCGTCATTCATCTCCCCTTGTACGTCTCCTCAATAGTTTTATACAATTTTTATAGGCGTGGCATTCGAATTCAACTTTGCTCTTGCATTCAGTAAAACGAACACTAAGTTTAAGTTGCGTGATTTGTGAAAGGTAAGTAGATTAATTTTTTTTTCCTTTTTACTCCATTTGCAATTAGTCCCTTTAATTCGCTAGAGGTGGTAATCAATTGTATATCAACAGTCTGTCCCTGCGTCCAGTTTCAACCAATTTCTATATCAGAAATGATGTCTTTCGTTTTTTAGTTCGCTTATTTTTTTCCTTCCCCAGTTTTTTAAATTCTAACGAAGTTTCTAAGACATCCCACTGGAAAGCGTACGTTTTAATTTTCGTAAAAATAGAAAAATAAATAAGAAATAACACAGAAATATTCATTTACAACAAAAATTGATTGCACGTATGGGTTGTACAGATGCACGCAAACTTTTCGGAAGTCTGTGCTTTTAAGATTAATAACATGGACTGACAACTATATTGTCACCCCGTTATTGTCGATATCCCAAGATCGACTTTATTCTTTGCATTCGTTTTAATTTTTTTCTTTTTTTATTGTATAAAAGAAAGGAAGAAATGTTGCCCGCTATAAACAGCAAATGTTAAAATTGTTAATCTACCAGTCATTCCACTTCCAATGCATGGACTATAAACAGTTATGTAAATTTGTGCAATAATTTCCCTAGGTAAACATTTTCCGCTCGCTAATGTAAATTAAGATTACAAATATATCATTATATGATGGAATTGAAAACAACCAAAGCTATTTCAGAATTTTTAACAAATAATCTTAAAATGAAAAACAAATACTGCATAGAGTTGAAATTTACAAAAATAATTTTCTAAAAAATGCCTTTAATTTATTTCTTGAATTACTCAATATGGTCGTTGACGTCTAATAGGAGGTAAACGATTCGGTGGTGTTATTGATATATCAAGAAAATCACCAATACAAAATTTTGCTTGTGCTAAGGTTTTGTTATCATCCGCTCCTTTTTGGCCGGTGCAAGTCACGCCGATCTCACGCATTTGAAAATGATTATTTCGATAGTTTGGGTAGACTATGGCAAAATCGAAATACGTGCCTTTTTTACGGGTATCTGGATTAACGTCGCGCACTAAAGAGGTAAGTTCATGTAATGAGGCATCCATCCAAGTGTATATTTGTAACTCGTTGCTCGGCACATTGCCATACATATATTCGGAAACAGAATGATGGCGACCCGTAGAACAAAATACCCTCAGCAACAATGGGCAGGTCTGTAATGAAATCAATCGAATTAACTATTGTAAGTCATACAGATTAAATATATTATTAACCTTTTCTCGATCAACTGGTTTAATTTGTGGTTTCTCTTCAACAATCATCGATTCGACATTAGCCATGTTTAATTTTCACTTAAACTTTAGTGTTAACTTTATAAAATTATAAAATAGCGACGAAATGCTTTGCTTTGGTTTTGTACCCAAGTTTGTTAAGCGATAACATTATGTTATCGAGTATAGGGATCACATTGCCGTGTGTTACTTATCTGTAGTAAAAGAAACTCTGCCATCGTCAGTGTTATCGAACAGCTACATTAATTATAATAACAGCAAAGCAAAGTCGTCCACCGTTTAATACGATTCCGATATAACACGGTGCAAAATCTGCTATAAAACAGTTTTGGCATGACACGATTTGAAACACTCAATATATACATGCAACTACGCCAAATAACTATCAAGAAGGGCTTTTCATCAACTTTGAGAAAAAAAATGGATTAAAATATTAAGTTACTAAGTTACTTTTTCATTTATATGCATATATGCTTGGAACGAGGTCCATGCCATCAAACAAATGTGCATTTTAAGTTTTTGTATAATACCGTACACACTGCCTTAATCCGTATTACGTGTTACTTAAATAAACAAAAATGTGTCTTTACATCGCGATATGAACCAATCGTATTATACACGAGAAGCCTATATATTTGTGGAATCTGAGAACATAACAACTTCATTTCTTCGAATCGTAATTTCGCAAAGATCTGCTTTCTAGCTTATAACTGTAGGTTACATTTACAAAGCTACCTAATATCGAAAAAAAATGATATAACAAAAAATGTTGTCTTGGAAACTACCAACATATACAGAATACACACACCACATTACAGCACCTAATACATATGTAAACAACCAACATACAGAGCATGTGTTCATACGAGTTTGTTTGGTGCGCGTTTTTTGTTTTGTATGAGTTTTGATAAAATGAAGGAAAATCATCGGAATAGTTTCTAGCAACTTGTGTTTACAGCAGATCAAATAAATTAATAATATAAAATAAATAAAAATGTCGAGTACTGACTTTTTAGAACTTAATCAAACGGCAATGTTTGCTAAAATACGTAACAGCCTGCCGGTGGAAAGACAGCATTCACAAAATTTGCTTGAATCTAAAGATGATCTGCTATATGTCTGGGATTCACAAGAATCTTGCTTACTGGTAGTAAATTGGCGCACGGCAATAGCTAAAGGTCATGAAAGCATAAATTATCAAACGCTTATCCCTTCAACACATTTAACATTCGATGTAGAGCGTGTTATAAGCTCCAACGAGGGCACTTTAATCGCTTTAGCTGGCTCGCGTGGCATTTGCATAATGGAATTACCGTGTCGTTGGGGTGCTACGGGTCAATTTATGCAAGGCAAACTCCAAATCACTTGCCGAACTTCGAATTTGGGCACTCATTTATTTAACAATAATCCGCACTTACAATTGCTGCAAGTGCGTTGGCATCCAGCTTCGCCAACCGACTCACATCTTTTAGCTTTGCTCTCGGACAACACAATAAGGGTTTACGATAATGCCAGCTTACGTCATGTTTGGCAAGTGGGTCCTTTGCCGTTAAGAAACGACACAAATCCCAACGCTTCTATTGTATATTCTTTGGAGGTAAATGTAATAGATTTTGATATTGCACCGCCCGTCACTACAGAAACAGATGAAATAGGTTTTAATGTAACTGCTGCTTCCACTTCTGTCGTTAGTACGAAGCAAAATACTGCCATAATATCAAAGACTTGTAGCAGTACTTTACTTAATAAAACAATTCAAAGCTCGCAGCACAAGCCGAAGAAGATACAATGGCCTTTAGTGATTTTAAGAGAGAATGGCAATATATATGTTTTAATGGCAGGATTGGATACGGAAAAGCCACGTTTACAAGGTCCCTTAACGATAACGCCATCCTCAACTGATAATTATGGAGTAGATTATTGTTCTCTATTAGTTGTACCATCTCTGCCGCCTACTTTGGTTATAGCCGAAACTAATGGTAAGCTTCATCATGCTATGTTTTTGGAAGCTGAAGTTGCAGAAAATTCCTTCGATGAAGTGGACGAAAGCCTGATTATTCATCCTTGTGAATGGACAGTCCATATTTTGGAAACTGTAGAATTAGAACTTGGTTTACCGAAGGAAACCACGAATCAGGGATATTATTGTCCTATTTTTTTGAAAAGGGATTTCATTAACGAGTTACGTTATTTCGCCTATCACAATACTGGCTTGCATGTAGTAACAATCAATTTTATAGCTGAATTGGAAAGGTTTTTGGAAAACGAAATTACCAGCGATATCAATTCGATTTGCGTCCCCTCCCATGCGGAGTATGTAGTATGTACTAAAATCGATTCAGGAAATCGTGTGAATGCTGTTTTAGGTTTTGTCATTATGCAAATGCCTAATTGTGCCGTTTTGCTGCTTTCCAGCGGTCAAGTCCTAAGCCTGAAATTGATTATAGACTTGAAGTTATTGAGCACTCTTCCATCGACGAAAACGATTTCCGCGGCAAATGCAATAAGTGAACAACAGCATTCCCAACTAAATGAATTGTTATCTACCTCGTTTGTAGATGACATCCGTAGGTTATTGAAACGTGATGTTACTCAACCTATATTGTCGTTAGATAAATCGTCTTCGCCCACTCCTCAAGAATGTAATGAACTGCTCATTCAAGCTATTAAAATTTTGCGAACACAATATTTGAAAAAACATGAATTGGTCAGAGCTGAATTCAATAAGCGTATACTTACCTTAAAGCTGTGGAAAGAACGGCAAAAGCAAGACATTAGTGATTTAGAAGAAGAACGCAATAAAATTAGAGATAATGCTCATAAGTTAGCCGAGAAATTTGAAGAGTTACGTGAGCAACAGGAAGTTTTAACAAAAAGATATCAAGACTTAATGCGACAGGCTAACACACGTTTACCTGGAAATAATTTGGCCCAGAAAGAGTTCGCCAAAGAAGTTGAGCGTTTAAATGACTTTACCAAAAAAATGTCATCAACTTTTGAGAAATATAAAAATACTATTAATAAACAAAATTATCAAATTGCCAAATATCAAGAAAATTCGAACATGAAAACGTACGAACTACCAGAAGCACAAGAACGCACCATTAAAGATATTCTATTGCAAATAAATACTGAAATCGACAGCCAAGTAATGGAAGTGAAACGTATTGGCAAAATTGTCTCTTAAAAGGCTCCACTTCGTTTAAAAGATCATTACGTTAAACATTATCACAAGTTAAGCAAATTATTTTTGTATTCTGTATCATTTATTAAATGCTCAGAATTGCTCAGAATTAATAAACGAGGGAATGCTCCAAATTTTGTCATATATTTGCAGAAGTCAAGTCAGTAATGAAAACATTATAATTTAGCAAAATAAATTGAAGCAACAAGGTAATGTCAATGGAAATTTGAAACCGTGTGAAAAATGTGGAAAACAGTGGAATATTTTGTTTGGGAGTAAGTACGCTTGCACAATATTTAAAGAAATGTATTCGTTATATATGAGTAGAATGGAGTTTTGCACCCCTGATCTGACTTTAGTCTAACTGGCAACAAGTAAAAATATTATCATCGGGCAAGACCGATCGATAAATACCCTACACCACATTGTCTAACACGTTTTTATTATAGAACAAAAAATTATATCTTGTTTCTATATAAAGGCATATTTTTCATGGCCGTATTTATGGGGTAGCGAGTCCAGAAGGCAACCTAAAATAGTACAAGTTTAATCCTTACATAGGGCAGGATCCAAAAATAGACGTAGATGATCGAAATTTTGCAGTGTTCATTTTTGCATGAAGTTGCTATAATATCATGGATCAATTTCCCTCACTAAATATTAAAACTTAGACTTTTCTGCTCTATAAATGATAAATTTTCGTGAATATCCTTATTGAGGTACTATCCAAAAAATAGGCCAACACGCTTCAAATTTGGTAGAGGGCATTTTTTATGTTAAATTGCTATTATGATGATAAATATACAATGCTTCACGATGAAAATTATAGCTTTTGGTCGTATGAACTTCAGTTTTCTTTATATGAAAAGGGGTTCAAATATTTCCCTAGCCTGTTCAAAGTTTTCATACCAATGTAGAATGCCGAAATACTACTACTTAGCCACTTTTGCCGAGAGATTTTAAAAATTGCAATTTTTTCCCATATATCTACTTCTCAGAATAGAGAGTTATGTGGGAGGAGGTCGAAAAAGTGGGCCGATTCGAATCATTTCCAATAACGTTGATCTTTGGGCCAAAATACGTCACTGTACCAATTTTGCCACAACATCTTAAAAATGGCGACCTGTAGCCTGAACTGAAACTTACACGGACAGACATAAGACTGACAGAAAAACTTAAATCAATTCAGATCACGATTCTGAATCAATCGGTCTAATAAAACGGGGTCTGTCTTACGCCCTTCTATATGTTACATATGTTCGCTCTAACTTTAATAATTTTTCTCATCACTAATGGCTTCGATGAGAGATAACATACTATGATTGACGTTAGGAACAGTAACAAAACATACCGGTTTTGTCTCTCTCTGCTAATTGTTAACAATTTACTCGCAATCCCTATTATTTTTGTCGCAAGCTCTATTATTTTCTATTTATTTATGACACACAGATAATGTGACAATAGCGAGTCGATCTAGATCAAGGAAATGGAGTGTGTTAAATAAGGTTTGAAGTTTAATGATTACAATTATTAAAATAAAATTTTTGTAACATAACTTCGACAAATTATTCGGATATTACTACTTTGAAGAATTCGGATATACGTCTGCTGTTAACTAGTTTAACGTTAAATACAGAAAGCTTTCTACATTTTTTTACTCAACGTAGACAAGATTGTGATGTGGACGAGATGCTTAAGCATTCCGTTTTAGCTCTTCGATATTTAGTAATATATTTAAATATGTTTTAATCGCAATACATTCATAAGCTGGAACCACAATCACAAGCCTAACCTAAGTTAAGTTTTGGCCAAGTTAATCTATTTGAAAGCGAATCAACATTGAGCCATCCTTTTGTGTCAATGAATAGTTTTTAATTGAGTTCAAATTCCATAATACGTTTTATCGTATCTTGTCTTTCTTTAGCCGATTCAATTTGCCCCAAAATACGATCCAAACACTTTTGTTGATATTTTACAATAAATTTGTTACAGTTTATTATTGTAGCGCCTACATAAATGGTGTGAAACTTAGCACGCACGTCACCTATCTGAAAAAAAGACACAATTTAGAATGTATTTGTGGGAATTCAAGTAAATAAATAATTACCGTAGTTATAAGCGGTAAGATGCTGGTAACGAATTTATGTGATTGATGTGAACAGCGAATTAGGGCAATTTTCGTTCTTTCATTACAATACTTCGTGCAAAAACCTAACTCTACGCGGCCAAGACCATACGCGCCATAGTATTTACGGACAGCGGCCAAGATACATTTACTTAACACATGATCTTTGTAGTGTAAAACATTGTGTTGCTTAGATTCAGGTACTATTTCTACCACAATATAACTAAAAATATTTTTCAAACATATCCAATTTATTTTCTTTTAACATTTATAAACGTTTCTTTTCGATCAATTACCGATTTTTAATGCGAACCATTTTTGTAAAGAAATAAGGGCATAAATAGAGAAGCTCAAAGGGAAGTTTTTTTTAAATTGTTTACAAAAAGAATTTTACACATACTGCTTTAAATACTAAACATATGTTTGGCAAAGCAGAGACCCTGACCGCAATGTTGCCAGATATTAACATTAAATGCGTTCAGTTTGATTTTTAGAACAACGAAAGCAAAATTAAACAAGTTGCTTTTTATATCTGTTTTATACTTTATCGTTCTACATAAGTTCAAGAATCTCTAAAAATGAGAATCGTGCCTGCAGATCAGTAAATTCACTCCTAGATTCTTTCTATTTACTTTTGCCATGTTGAGTTGCAGACAGTGTAATTAATAAGTCTGTTAGCAAAAATTTGCAGATCCTTTCTGCTTTCTTTATGTAACGTGGAAAGCGCAGGGGGTTTGACTCTTAATTAAGCCTGCTAATTGACGTTTAGTACGTTCAAGATAATTAACACGAATTTAATTTGGCGCTTAAAAAAGCTATCGAACTTCATTGTATTTTCTGCCATAGAATCATTTGTGTTAGGTAGCGGAAGTATTGCCATACAAATCTCATAAACAGTCATGCAATTAATTATAATTTTACCAAATATTAGTATAAACCGACCTTAAAGAAATATTGTTACCATATAATACGATCAGAAAATGTATTTAGTAAAAACTAATGGAAACAATCAACCGAAATAAACTTTCGAAAATTTATTTCCCTTTTTCGAAAAGTTATTTCCATTTAGCGGAAATTTATTTTGATTATCTAGATTAATGTACCCAATATGCTCTGAGCTTGTCCTTAACCATTCTGATGTTGATCGGATATTTTCGTTCATCTAGCTCATCACTCCGTCCGATCCGCACGCATCCATTTGTTCCACTTCTTTTTTTGATGGACAATTTTTTCAGACGTGCCTAAATAAAGTGTTAAGACCGCATCTGTGGTTAATATAGGATACGTTTTATGTATCTAGTAAAAAATGCTCACCGCAAATATAATTATTTTTCTTACAATTGGAAACATTTAATAAGGTTAACAAGTCTTCCAATTTGTATGCAGAGATTTAGAAAATCGATCTTTTTTCAACAAATTTATTTTTATTATATTTGCATGCACTCTCTTCTACTCACTATTATGCGATATAATAATAAATATAACAAGAAAAGGAAAAATGACAAATAGATAAAGTAAATTGAGCGTAGGAAATGAAAAAAAGAAATTTGGTAGTTTTCTTTATTTACTTAAATTTTGTTTAACAGCAACAAATGAATTTTAAAGGAGAAAAGAATAAAAGGTTTTAATTTTTCTTTTTCCGAAATTGCGAAATATAAAACAAATCATAAAAATTATAAAAACTATTTCTCGCTTTCAAATGCTTTGAATCGCGCTTGCTGAAAAAGTAATAAAATTCTATTTGTTTAAACATCTGTTTAAGAATCAGGTGTTTCAGATATTGCAATTACAGATATGTTTTTTTATTAAATGAAATGAAATAAACGAAAAAAAAAGAATATGAGTCAAAAGGAATGAGAGGATGAGAGAAGAATCATTTGCAAAAAGGCAAAGCAAGAGCAAAAGTGTTGAGAAATTTGACGGGAAAAAGTTTAACAAAAACAATTCCTAAAAGTCATTTAAAAAAGAAGAAAATAAGAAAATTATAAGTCGAATAAAATTAAAAAAAAGCGGAAAATTTTGTAATAAAATTGAAATAATCGATTTTGTGATTAAAAGTTCTGGCCGGATTAATGTCTCTTTGTATGTGTTTAGTGCTTATAACCAGCAATTATTGGATTATACCTTAAAACCCTCAAAAAGTTGATTATATACAAACTGTGTATATTGAACGCGTACAGTTACATCTTTTGGATATTTTTAAGGGAAATATCTTTTTAGTAATAACAACAGCAACAAAAATTACTTGAAGTAAGTATGCACCCGTAAATGCGAACCCCACTTTCATTGCCACTCAGGCGTTAAAACGATGATAATGATGATAACTCGTCCTTGTTGTTATTATTATTATAGCCGTTATCGATGTTGTTATTACTGTTGTTAGTATAAGGTTTGTGGGAATGCTTATATAATACTTCTTGTAAAATACATGAGAAATATAAAAATATTTGCAAAAATATAAAACAACTGAAAATTTTCCCACATACTATCGATATCCCGTAAAGTTCAGCCTAATTTTCAACATTCCTATCAAGCGGCTTTCGTTATCTTTGCGGTATATCGAAAACTTTATAGAAGAAATGCTACGCTAATGCAATTGTATCAATTTTATAGAAGTTGTTATTTGGTTTTCATAATAATCAATAGGCTGATGACTACCATAACTAAATTCGATGAAAATTTGTAAAAATAATGAAAATTTATTAATTATGAAAGTTAACTTTAGAGTTTTGTCTTCATAATAGCTAAAAATTCATAGTTAAAAACAAAAAATGGAGAAGTTATATTTATTGCTGACCAAATTTCTCTAATTCTCACCCACCCACTATTAGTTTAGTGAAACGAGGTGAACACTGAATTGTGATAATTAATATTTTATTGTTTAGGAATAAAAAATATATTTTCGGGTTGCTTGACTACATGATAGAGCAAAAATCCATTAGCATACGATACGATATGTGTATATATTGAGTGGAGATGCATTGACGTACAAAACATTAGCTGAATATGTGGTACTGCAAATATTTCTTTTATATGATTAGAAGTTTTCCATAGATTTATGCCGGAAGCAATAAACAAAAAAGTTACATGTGTTCTATATAATGCTTCTGGTTCTGCTGGGAACATTTCTTTAGCAGATTAAGATAATGTTTGTGTCCACCAAAGCTCACCATCCTTCTAATGCCTAGAAAAAGACATGGCAGTTCTCAAAAGACCCATATACCCATGTAAGCTTTTATGCTTATGTCGTCTGTTTATTTTTTTGGGATACTTAAGATTGGGAAACTTGAGATAAAAAAATTAGCCCAATGTATACCAAGTTCAAAAATGAACATGATAGAACAGATATTAATTTAAAACTGGGACCAGATAATTATTAGAAAAATTTGAAATTTCAGTAGCAGAAAACATGTGATGTGCTTTCATTGGTAATCTATAGAACATATTGAATCAAGACATGGTGCAAACCTCTTCGTTCGGCAATCTAAAACTTAACTTGGAATTATAAATATGATGACGAACACTCTGTATTGATATTATTAGGTGTATTAACAGGGAAGTGCGTTGTAGGGTTCAGCGAGCAAATGTTATAGAGAATGCAAGTTGTGTACACTTATAGTTTTTAGTTTTTACTTGCGTTATTCTCTTAAGCAAATAAAAAAATTAATTTACTTAAAATGATTTCTCAACAAAGCTTCGTACTCACTAATTAACTTTACCTTCAAAACGATAAACAAAGCAATTTTAGCAATTTATAAAATATTATAGGAATCTCTACTTACCAAAGCTGAAACGGTGGCCATAACAACATACATAAAATATTTCTGAAAGTTTACTGTATTCATTAGCAAAATTCTCTGAATCAATTTTTCTCAGTAAGTAATGTGAAATGCAAAGTAAATTAAACGTGAATTGAAAATCAAAATGAATTTCTTTTTCTTTGTTTTTTGGGCAAAGGTTCGATTTTTAATTACGTTCGAAACTTTATGTGAATAAAGGGATTTCACAAACTGTACCAAATACGACACTTACGTCCGTCCAAGGTAAGGGTACAATTAATGAATTGATGGGAAGTTCCAGATTATGCCTAGAGGCTCTTGGCCGGTATCCGAGATACTCGCCACTCTTTTAGGGTAGGCATAATATACGCTGCGTAGGTTTGTGTGTAGACGGAACGAAGTCGAAAAAATTTTGTCCATCTGAATTTGGTTTTTCACTCAACTTTTCGCTAAATTTTGATGTAATTTGCGAAAGAAAAATTCGAATGGTATTTCCATATACATTCACGTGATGCGGGTAAATATATGCGACATTTTTTGATTTGGACGCGTTAGAGCCTACATTTCAGTTTTCTTTCAGTTTTTGCTTACATACCAGATTTGAAAAATTGGTAAAAACAGTTCCTAAGAGCAGAATTTGAATTTGTTTAACTTGCTTGAAAGATTCAGGTGATATAGGTGAATATCTTGGGTGTTTTTTGGTTCGAGCGCAGCAGAATCTCGAATTTGGCCATTGTACCGTAGCCGATATATGTTAAAATACCAAATTTAAAAAATTTGGTAAACATAGTTCTGGAAAGTCGTTTAGTTTGTTTGAAAAGTATCAAGAAAGATTCATTAGGTGCCTATTAAAATATATTCCGTTTCCTAATTTGGACGGAGCGGGTCCCAAGTCCAATCATATTTTAATCCCAACTAGTTAACAGAGCTTTCTAAGGGCGTTTATATAACTCTAGTCAGATGGATGATAGTGGTCTTTGCTAGTTAAATTCGTATTTATATTCACGTCCCCTCTTCTTTTCCCGTTTGTAAAATCTGGAAACAGTGTTCTTGATCGAAGTAAAGTTCTAAGTCTATTTAACCATCATACCCCTCATCGTGCATTTGCCCATTTGTTTATTCTTATTAGAATATCAAAGATTGCAAATATTGCGAGAGAGATGGTGTTATGTGTCCACCGTCAATAGGCAAACGATTGTAACTGTAATTCCCAAACGTCATAAGACGCGAGACAATCGATAATGGTCTTCATTTATTATTCATACCGCAACGACTACCACCATAAGTGTTTCAAGTGCTTCAAATTTCTATGTACAGTCATACTAAAGTGATTCCGGTAAAAATTTGGATTTAATTAATCAGAATAAAACATTTGCAATTTTTTTTCTTTTTTTTTATAATTCATTTACATCAATTATCAGCCTCTCATATGTGCTTGCACAAGCCCCGTCTGATTTGTTTTCAGCATTTGTCAAGTTGTAAATGGACTTCGATCTATTTTCGACAACAAGGGAAACTCAAAGGAAATCAACAATAATGTTCGTCATAGAGCGTGTTGTTATTCTTATTTCAATCCATATAGACGCTTGTAGGTGAATCCTACAATTCTCTGCGTTGCTTATGGAACAATTTTAATAATGCTCATAGCGTAATATCGTTAAGTAATTGTCTGTATAGACTGAAAATTCTTCTGCGCCGGAATCATAGGAAACGTTAATCGTCGTTCAACCGTTTAAGTAATGTTTATGACTTTGAAAATTTTGTGTAGAAAAAAAGCAAACTAAACAATTTTCTTACAATTCTAGATAGATAGACGGGTCCGCCTGCAATGACTAAAAAAATGGCTATTGAATTCTGTCTCTTTCAATTTGGATCTTAAAGAAAAAGTCAGCCAAGTTAGAAAATTAGCCCACGTTTACGCCCATATATATTAAAAAATCCATACATAAGCCCATTAATGTCTACAGTACGGTACGGAAAATTAACATTTCTCTTGTTAACAACTGCATTTATGGCTTGAGGGCGAAAAAATAAAAAACAAAAACAACTCAAAATTTTTTTTAACTTAAGATAAAATTATAAAATAAAAAAAATCACAAAAAAACCTACACCCAGTTTCACACCTAGGTAGTTTAATGTACTTTTTATGGATAAAATTAAAAAAACTAATAATTTGTTGGGCTACTTTTAGTATTTAATGTTGTTTAGTATATAATTGTTGTCTTGGCATTGAAAAAACCAATTTTTCTGTTTCATTCTCCAAGCAAAGCTGTCTCAACGTCTTCCATGTTATAAATTTTAATTTTTCAAACCCGCCCATCCAATTTATGTCATATGTTTTCAATTGCATTCAAATCCGGTGATTGGCGAATAGAATATAATTCTTTGGGGATGTTTTAAAGCAGCCACATTCCTCCAATGAGAGATATATGTTTGGAATTGTTTTCCTGCTGCGAGATCCATATGCGAGATCCATATGCCCGAAAGATCTATTTTTTAGTTGCAGAAGTCTTCAAATTGGCTTTCAAAATATTGAGATAAATGTGACGATCCATTTTAGCGTTAGTAAACATGGGGCCAGGTTTTCTGCTCCAGCCGCAGACGTGCACCCCCAAACAATGGCCGTGCTTTACAGTTATACTATCATTTTGGTGAAGTTGTGCAAACTCGAGCCTTTTTATCATATTTTTTTCTTGGAATGTGTTTATGAAAATCATTGGCTCTTAGACCATTTCGAACGGAACGAAAAATATAAGCAACATATGAAGATTGAAATTAAAATTAGGAATAACAATCAATTTTCCAACTATTTGTAGCTACTTAACAATAAGCGTGCACGTTTGTTACGAATTGGGTCAGATATATGAGATATGTCATATATGTCTAGCACAATTGCCGGACTTGATTCAAGTGAAGAATTTCGTCAGTTATTCACGGCCAAGTAGCAGTAGAGCAAATCACTAAATTTTGATTCCCTCAATTTATATTTCGTTGTGTAGACATAGGTTTCTGTAAGACGCTGTCAAAATTACAATTAAAAAGAATTTTTTTCTTTTCTGTGTTTGCGCTAGAACCAAAAATTATTAACATAAAGTTTATGATCCTTAACTCATAAATGCGAGGATCCTTAATGTTTCGTATTTTATGCAGACTACTGTACTGTGCTGTAAATAACGCAAGAGAGGTAATAATAAACTACTGCAAAATGCTATCAAAAAATTTGATTAATAATCAATACGATATGCATGATGTGACGTACAATAAATAAGTCAATTAAATGGATCCTCTTTAGTGACTTTCCATTCTAAAACGCAATGTTACGTAAAACGAAAACTTGGAATTCCAAAATTTGCAACGATTAATTATTATTCATTTTCCGCCTCTTCTTATTAGAAAAATTGTTAAACCGCGAAAATTCTTTCCATTTCTTGTAATCTTTCAACAAAGTCAATATTGATTTAATCTAAAGTA